GCTGCGCCGCATCCAGGCGCCGCCAGCGGTACAGCACTGCTTCGTCGGCACAGGTGACTGCGAAGAAGGCCGCTTGCATGTCCGCAGCAGTGGTGCCTGACAGCACATGAAGCGCCCACTCCAACGCTTGGCAGGTGCGGCTGAAAGCCTGGAGCTCCGCCTCTGCCGCACGCTTGTCTTGAGGGGCTGCCCTGGGGTCATAGACAAGACTCAGCAGCGCCTCCAAGCGACCCTGGTCCATGGCGAGCGGCTTCTTGGTTGCAGCGGCCCCAGGGGCGATGGGCGAGACGCTTCACGCAGCCATGCGTTCAGCGACGAGTAGCAGCGGCGGCAGTGGCGGCGGGGCGGGAGCTGCGAGCAGGGAGTGGTCGGCACTCAGGTCGCGGTGCAGGGGCGCCCGGGGGCTGCCTGCGGGAGCAGGTGCTGCCTGATTCAGACTGGCGCACTCCCAAGATCAGTTCAGCGGGTGATGGAAGCGCGGGAGGGAGGGTGCAATAGCAGGCGATTTGCACAGCATGTACGTTGTCGTCTGCCAGGATGAATAGAGAAGCAGAGCGACCGCTGGGATGGCTGGCCGCTTGCCGTGCTGGGGCGGCCTGCGGCACACTGTGCTGCTGTGCCAAAACCATCAAGCTGGCAGACCTCCACTGCTGCTTTAAAAATGGAAGTGATTTTTCAGTGCATCATTAGTTAATTAAATAAACTAAATCAAGGGAATGCCAATGGGATAGCCAGCTCGCCATCCACAGCAGTGGTGCCGCTGCCGGGCAGGCACTGCGCCAGCACCTGCACCACTTGCGCTGCGCTGGGCCGTGCAGCTGGGTCGCCTTGCAAGCAGCACTGGATCAGGGACACAACCTGCGCGGGGCAGTCCTGCGGCGCCCTGCACGCACACCGCAAAGCAGCAGCAACGACTCTCAGCACAGGGATTGCGAGCGTCACTCAAGACGGCTGCTCGCAAAACACACCTCAAGGGCCGTCCCTCGCCACGCCGCGCCAGCCGCTGGCCGGTGGCAATGCCGTGCAGCACCCAGCCCAGGCTAAACAGGTCGGCCTCCAAGCCGCAGGGCCCATGCACGAGCTGCTCGGGTGCGGCATACAGGGGCGTGCCACAGCCTGCACCAAGCAGAGGACATCAGCAACAGGGGCGAGCTACAGAACTAGCAACGCATTCCTCTCCCTTGTCAAACAGCCTACCTGACACCATGCTGTCTTGGCCCAGCATACGAGCCAGCCCCACATCTGCCAGCTTGGCAACCACGCCGCTGCCAGCGCTGCCGGGGGTGTCTGCCAGAAGCACATTCTGCAGTACCAAGCAGCAGCGATGTGGCATCCAGCAGCACACTGACAAAGTGGTGCTTGAGTGCACAAGCAAGCGAGCGCTGCCACAAGCCAACAGCCTCCGATGCTGCTGCTCCCACCCACCGCAGGCTTGATGTCCAGGTGGGCAATGGACAGCTGGTGAAGGAAGGCCACAGCACGTGCCACATCCAGTGCTGCCTGCCCTCCTTTCTCGTGCCAGCGCAGCGCTGGGGATGCCAGCCGCTCATGCAGGCTGCCCCCTTCCAGCAGCTCCGTCACCAGCATCAGCCGGGGAGGCTCTGAGCTGCTTCTGCTCTTGCTGCTGCGGCCTCTGCTGCTGCTGCTGCTGCTGCTGCTGTACACGCCAAGCAGCTGGACTATGTTGGGGTGGGTGCATCGCCGCAGCAGCTCAACCTCACGCCACAGTTTGGCTTCCTGCTCCTCCTGCTGCTGGCCGCTGGCTGTGTACGAGGCTGTGCCATCCAGCAGTGCCTGCCACACTACCGGCTGGTTCAACACTTTGATGGCAACAGGCCAATGGCCAAACAACAGGCCCTTGTACACCTGCAGACACACAGGCAGGCCGGGTTGGGTTGGTGTCAAAAGCACAAACGAGCAGATGGAGCAAATCAGTGCCCAGCACTGCACCTTGCTCGATGCGCCGCTGCCAAGCAGCTCGGGCCTGCCGGCGCCGTCCACCACTATGCTGAAATCCTCTGGCCGCAGCCGCAGGCTGGTGCTCTGAAGACGCCACGACACGGTGGCATCCGCTGCCGCCGACGTCGACGCTGCTGGCCGAGAGGTGGCGCCCCTGCTGTGAAGCACGCCGCCAGGCAGCAACGGCGCAACATCATTCAGCTCCTGCTGTACGCCATCACCCTCGCCTGCCTCCACCTCTTCAGCTCGGTCCTTGCCACGCAAGCTCTGGTGCCCGGCGCCCTTCTTGCTGCCGCCCCATCGCCGCACACCCAGGGCCACTGCAAGGGCCGCCAGCGCTGTGGCAATAGTGGCGCCAGCCAGTTTGGCGGTGTGGTGCAGCCGCCGTCTCCAGATGGGGCCACAGAGCGGCAGGTCAAAAGGCTGCGTACCACATATGGCATCGTTTTCCTCAGCCCGCTGCTGCCATCCTGTGCCAAGCGCCTGCCGCTGCCGTCCGCCGCCGCTGCAACCATGCCATGGCTGCCTCCAGGCTTGGGAGCCATCACTGTGCAGTTGGTTTCAAAGTATGCATTCAATTCGCCATGTGCTCTATTGCGCCTGGGACCCCTTGTTGGCATGCAAAGGCCATCGTTCCCGGGGTGGATCGTCAGGGTGAACTGGCAAGGGGGCGGGAGGCAGCAGAATAGGACGAGCTGGCTCAAGAAGAAGCTGATGAGTCGCCTCGGCTTCGAAAACCGCAGTCGTGCACCCCATGCCACTATTGCCAGCTTGCTTCCAAGCTGCATTGGATCATCGCTTCTGCAAGCAGGAGCTCCAGAATGGAAGGCGGCGCCGTACTGCACCTCGCCTTACCTTTGTAAAGTTGGGCATGCGCCCCGACAGTGCATTGTCATTCAGAATGACCTCGGCTGTGTACCACCAAGAACTTCCAAAGGCCCACTGGTCCGGGATTGTGCCAGTCAGGTTGTTCCTGCAGCAAGAAAAAGCAGCCAGGAGGGGCAACCATGTGCGGAACGGCAGAGCACCATGCGGGTGGGGCCTGAGGCCAGCCACAGCGCGAGGGCTGCTCACCTCTCCAGGCCCAGTTTGATCAAAAAAGGCATGTGCGCAGCCCAGTCGGCCGGCAGCGTGCCGTGCAGGCTGCAGTTGGCTATCCGCAGCTGTTGCATGGAGGGCAGGTGGGGCGCGTCCTGCTGAGCTGAGGGTGGCCCACGCCCGCTTTCGGCAGCGGTGCGCGTGCTAGCAGCAGGATTGGCACTGGGTTGGGCCAAGGGTGGGGGCGGAAGCGTAAACGGCGGTAGGGTGGCCCCCAGGGGGTTGAAGCTTATGTCCAAGTCCACAAGCCTGCAAATCAGTCACCATGCAGCCAGGGGCCCAAGACATCAAGATCACGCCATGGGCCAGCCTCACCCATCCTGGCAATGACATACCTCCAACAGGATTGGGGACACACCACCAACAGATGAGGTGAGAGCAGTGTCATGGGCAGCGGCAAGTGCGGCGGTGGTCCACTAATGTGCCCCGGCAGCCGCAGCGGCAGACAAGGGCCGACCAGAGGCAGCCAAACAGCGCACCTGGGCCACGCGCCTGGGGCCAGCCACTCCTGGGGGAGCGGGCCGTGCAGCCCGTTGACAAACAGCTGCAACACCTGCACAGGAGCAGATGTGTGCTCAGCAACGTGCAAAATGGCACAACGGTGCTGGCACGGCAAGTCGGCAGGGGACGTTGGAGCAGCAAGCCAGGGCGCATGCCCTTCCTGCAGCAGTGCTGCACCCTGAGGTGCGGGAAGGCGGTGGGCAGCCAGGCTGGAAGCGTGCCGGTCAGCTGGTTCTCTGTCAGCAGCAGGTCCAAGGCTGGCCACTGCTGCTGGGTGGGAGCGGTGGCGCCGAGGGCCGACCACGCATGCGGAAAGCTGCCGGTGATGGAGTTGCTACACAGATCAATGTACCGAAGGCGGCTGCAGTCGACGGGAGGTGGCGGGAGGAGCGTGGATGCAACGGGGACAGCTCCCATTGCTCAACAAGTGCCAGAATCCACTCCAGGCACACGCTCACCTGAGCAGGCCATCAGGGGCCGCCCACTCTTCCGGCAGGCTGCCGGTGAGTCCCAGGTCACGAACCGTAAGGTCTCTCAGGCCTTTTAACCGGCTGAGTGGAACAGTCAGAACCTGCAGCGAGGCTGAAAGCTTCGGTGCGCAGCCCTCTACGTCTGCATGCATGGTGGGACCAGGCAGGTGTGTCAAGTATGAAATAGTTCAGGGCTGGAGGCTGCTCCAAGCTTTGCAGGCTGCCATCAGGAATCGCACTGGTCTGGACCGCAAAACACAGTGCTCACTAGAATTTGTGTACTGCATGCCCAACCGGAAGCAGTTGCTAAGGAGGAAGAAGTTCCGCCGGGCAAGGTCCCTGCACCGCTTGCCGGCGGCGCTTCCGTAAGTTGGACAGCCGAAAAATGGCAAGCCAAGCGTCAGAGTCATTCCTTCCATGCAAGTGTGGATTCATCTCACAGTGACATGATGCGACCCTCCAACTGGCACTCCGTCACAAAGCTCCAGGTGCACGGGTCGGCCTCAATGGTGCTGTTGCTGCCGCTGCCCCAGCCGCGAAGCTGGATGCCATACTCCCCCAGCCTGTCCCATCCAGTGATTGCCGCTTTAAAATCCAGGAGAGCCGCCACTGCAGGACGTGGCACAGCAGTCGGCTGTGCTTAGAATGGCTGCCGCCGTGGCGGCACCAGGGCGGGACCCACCCCTGCAGGGGACGAAGTGAAACCCGTCCCCTGCGGCGCGCACCTTCCTCCGGGTACCGCGCTGCGCTGTCCTGGGCGGCATAGGCCCGTAGGTGGGCCGCCAGGGCCGCCAGCTGCACCAGAGCTCGAAGGGTAGCCCAGCCCCTGGCGAGGGCCAGGCGGCCGGTCATTATCGGCTCGGGGAGAATTTCAGGTCGCGCATGTCGCTAGTGCAACCGGCTCTTTGCCAGCCGATGATGTCGAGTCCCCCGCCGCCAGCAAGGCGGGCCGACAAGCGGGCGCAGGCAGTGAACAGACAGGGATTACAATGCATAGAGGCCAGGTGAAATGTACAAACAACAGAAGATATCTACCAGAGTATACTGAAGTGCAGTACCATGAGCAGAGTACATGCAAACAGGTAGCGGTGCCAAAGGGCTGTAGCTCTGAAACAAAAATGGACAAAAGACTGCGAAAGGTATCATGCTGCATTCAGCAGGGGCTGCTCCAGGTCGGCGGCCTCAGGGCTGCCATCTGCTGCTTCGCCTGCCCCTCCTGCTGTCCGACCAGCAGCATGCCGCTGCTCCGCTTCCTCCCCTTCCTCGCCATCCACCAGCCCGCCTCCCTCCACTTCCAGCACCTCTCGAAACCTGGCTTCCCTGCCAGACTGGCAGAGAGCCAGTGCAAAAAGAACAGTAGACACCACCAGCAGGCAGGTGCAGATGCACATGCTCAACCGCCAGTTGTTGAGCTTGCTCTGCAGAGCGGCAGGAAGCAGCGGCCAAGCAATCTAGACACAGAGGCAAGATGGAACCCACCCACTGCACATCCAAAGTCGAGAGGCAGCGTGCAGCGGCAAGTTGCCTACAGCCAGCACACCTGCAGCCAGCCCAGTGCAGGTGGTGACGGAATGTCGCCTAAGGCATGCTGGACAAACTCCGCGGCCGACAGCGCAAATGGGCGCAGCTCGGGACGCGGCACGCTCCACATCAGCACGGCATTCACCGGCGCTGCCATGAGGAACCTGCCAAGGGCGGCAGGTGGCCAGGCCAGCTAGGGGGTGTGAGCGAGGGGCAGGATGGAACACAGCCGGTGGTGCTCTGCTACTGAGCTGCCGATTGCAGGGAGCCAGTTCCCATTTTGCAGGCAGCCACACTCACATGGCAAGCTCGCCGCCCGCAAAAACTGGGCCAAACCACGGCATGGTCTTGGCTGCACCAAACCCTGCCATGACCAGCACGCAGCCGCAGCCCACGCCGCCTGCAGCCAGGTTGGCGCAGCCGTGCGGTGAAGGCGGCATGGACAGGAGCGCTCGTACGAGCGCTTCCGTCAATCTGAAACCAAATGGGTTGCCAAAACAATCAAGCGCACCTGTGCACAGTAGCAGCGCGTTGCGGACTGAGGCTCCCATGGAGTCCAGGGCCAGGCCGCCACACAGCGTGCCCAGCACGCCTGTCAAAACCGTGATGCCACCAAACAGGAGGTCGGCCGTCTCGGATGGCAGGTCGAAAATTGCGCGGGCGGCCTTTGGGCCAAAAAAGGCGTAGCAGCCCAGGCTGCCATTATAAGCTGCCAGAGCCAGCATCGTGGAAATGCACACGCGGCTTGCAGCCAGCTCGCGGCAGTCGGCCAGAAACGCCGCCAGCGCCTTGCCGGCGCCGGCTGGGCCGCTGCCTGGCGCCACCGCTGGCGCTGCTGCCTTGCTGCTGGCGCGGAGCTCCACCGGCGATGCCAGCAGGAGCGCCCCGGCAAAGGGCAGCATGGCTGCGGCCTCTATGCCAAACGCAGCACGCCAGCCCAGGGCGGTGCCCACCTGCACCCCAGGCGTGTACCAGTGGTTGCCCCCCGCGGCGAGGCAGCTGGCACCTACAGCAAGTACTCTACATTCCCAACACTCACCAGCCCGCCATATAGGTAGCCAACGGCAAATCCTGTAGGAATGCACAGAAAGAAGGAGGACAGCCAGAGGGACTTGCGATCCGGCGGCGCCTGGTCATCTATCAGAGGAGCGGCCAGTGCAATGAAGGGGCCGCATGCAGCGCCCACCAGGAAACGGCAGAACAGCAGGAAAGGGAAGTTGGGGGCGGCAGCGCAGCCGGCAGCGCCAAACACCCACAGGCTGCAGAGCGCGAGGGAGGCGTAGGGTGGAGGTCATGCCGGCAAGCATGATCTGTGAAGCAGCTTGGGCATGCAGCAGAACCTCAACCGAGCTGCAGCGCATTGAGGGGCGCCGGCTCGCCTGAGGCCCGTGCCCATGAGCTTGAGCGCAGGGAAGCGGCGGCTCAGCTGCGAGCAAGCAGGCGCGCTCAGCATGAGCCCGGTCATGAGCATCGCAGCCAGCAGGCCGTCTGCTGTCAGCGACAGGTCGAACTCGCCCTGCAGCAGGGTTGGCAGGGAGGGACCACGGATGAAAAGAAGGTAATCTGTGGTGCCTGGGCAGCAGGTTGCCAGCGCAGCACCTGAATGCCAAAGCCGGGGTGGCCGTCCATGGCTGGCCGCCCATTGACGCTATTACAACTGACGACGCCTCTGTCCGCAAACAGCAACAAAGTGGCGCCGCAGAAGAGCGCCAGCAGGAGCGCAGGCTTCATAGTGGCGGGCCCCGCCAGGCGCCGCCACCAGGCGCCGCCGGTTCAGACGTTCCGTGGCGCTGCTGCCTTTCGCGCTGCTGGCCTGTGATTATGGTGTGCTGCAGGCTCCGACAGCCTCCTCCAGGCTGGTCAGCGTTGCCTGCGCTAATTGATCAGTTCACAGGCAGAGCCTCAGAGGCCAACACGGGGCAGACAGATAGCTGAGTATGTACAAGAGTGCAGCAATGCGAGGAGTCCTTTTGAAGATGAACGAAAGGCTTCTCTTTCGCTGCCGTGAGTTGGACGGCCTCACCGAGCCTCATGTGGCGCGCTCGCTCATCATTTCGCTGGTTGTGATGTGATGTGATCTGCACACAGAGGCCAGAAGCCAACGTTGCTGTTGCCGACAAGCGATCGCCCCGCTCTTGCTGGTGAAACAAAGCAAGTCTTTGGCAGCATAGGGATGCATAAGGATTCAACAGGATAAGGGCGCCTAACGGGCGAGACTCCGCACTACTGTTGGCCGGCGGCAGCAGTGACCGCAGCAGGATGCGTCGCCGGGACTGCGGCGTTGGCTGCCTGACCCACCCAGCCCTGGAGCGCTGGGCATCGCCCCGCCGCCTGTTGGCCTTCCTGTGCGCCCTCAACCTGCTGTTCTTTCTGGACAGAGGGGTCGTGGCGTCGAATGGAGTCAACGGGTCGGCCACAGATGACGGCACGGAGGGCCTGTCCACCACCTTTGATCTGTCGCTGTTTGAGGACGGTCTCGTGGCAGCCCTGTACTTCGTGGGCGTCATGCTGGGCGCACCCATTTTCGCAGTGCTCAGCAAGCGGCACACGGCGCTGCGCCTCCTGGGCTGGGGCACGGCGCTGTTTGGCGGTGCTGCGCTCCTGTGCGGGTTCAGCTACTTCTTTGCCATGGTGCTTGTTTTCAGGTATGCATGTGGCAGGGCGTCACCGTGCTGGTTTGGTTGGGTATGCCCGACTGCATCTAGGCTTCACAACCACACACTGCCTCATGTTGCCCTCCAGGTGCTTGGTTGGAGCAGGTTCTGCCTCGCTCATTGCCCTGGGCCCGCCCCTCGTCGGTGAGATTTTGCTGTCGACACCGCCAAGCCCTTACCTGGCTCTTGCTGCTCCCTTTGATGAAGTGCGCCCCTACTGACTTGCCGCGCAGACGACCACGCGCCAGATGCATCACGCTCACTCTGGCTGGGCCTGTTTTATCTGACTATGCCCACGGGCGTAGCTCTTGGATACCTTCTGGGCGGGGCAATCGGGTCAGGTGAGCAGGACAGGGGAAAAAACGAAGTTGCTACTGGCGGCGTCTTTTCACTTCCTCTTGCTGGCAGCTCAGCCGGCAAACTCACTTCATGCCTGGCTGCAGCGCTCAGCTGGAGGGCTGCATTTTGGATGGAAGCAGGCCTGGCAGCGCCCTTCAGCCTGTGGTGCCTGCTGGCTCCCACTGTTGACATCAAGCACGGCTCAGGCACTGGCCCTACTACCGACCAGCGGCCGTCGGCGCCACTGAGTATCAGCTGCAGCGACGGCAGCACAGGCAACAGCAGCGCTTCAAAGCCGCCCGAGCTGGCAGGCGCTGATGCGAGGGGGCAGGGAGATCCTGCTTTGCCGGTGGCGCGCCCTCGGCGCTGGGTCAGCCAGCTGGCCACGGCGGCCGGGGCTGTCTGGACAGACCTGCGCCTGCTGGCTCGGCACCCAGTCTGCCTCCTTGTCATCGCCGCTCTCACGTGAGCCCCCCTCTTTCTCTCTCTCTTTCCATTCCATGCCCAGCACATGTGACTTGTCCCTGCTACCTGCTGCATCTGAACTCAGCGTGTGTGACCCTGCAGCTGCTGGAACGGCTTCATCGGAGCGTATGGCTACTGGGGCCCAAAAGCCGTCACCGAGCTGTTTTCAATATCGCCCGAGGATGCCGACTTTGTGTTTGGCGCCGTTCTCGCCGCTGCAGGTGCGGCGCCTGCCCTGCCTGTTGGTCATCTGTGGCGACCAGGCTGTCCGAGTGCACACAACTTGTGGTTTGCCTGGGCCATGCAGGCATCCTTGGCTCGCTGGCCGGCGGCATCCTGCTGGACTTGCTGGGAGCGACGATGCCTCGCGGCATGCTGCTGGGTGCGGCAGGCCTGGGCGCCGGCTGCGTGCTGGCGGTGCTTGCCGTGACGCTTCCTCGCAGCCAGGCGGCCTTCTGGCCACTGTTTGCATCAGCCGAGTTCGCGGTCTTCCTTGTGATGGTGAGGGCCGGCTGCTACCGGTGTTGCCCAGTACCGCCCTCCCCGCTTGTCACATACGCCTGTGTCCTGCAGCAACGTTGGTGGCTGTATAAAGTTGCCTTGTGCTGAATGTGGCACTGCGGCGGCCTGCTGCTCGCCTGGATGCAGGCGCCGGCCAATGCGGTGTGCATGTGGAGCGTGCCAGGCAGCCTGCGCCCCTTTGCTCTGTCTGTCTCAGGTGAGGCATCACAAGCTGACCTGAGGTTCCTCTGCTTTCTTATGGCCATATGCTGGGCGACCTTCTTGATCCAGTCTCTCTTCAAGCAATTCTGCACACTGTGGCATCTGCCCAAACGCAGAGTTGATGCAACATCTTTTAGGAGACATTCCGACGCCACCAGCGATGGGCGCCTTGCAGAGCGCAGTGGACGATTGGCGGCTCAGCCTGGCGTGTAAGCGACTTGCCTCTTCTCACCAGCCGCCTGCCTTTCTGTCCTGGAGCAGCCCAGCAGGCTTCTTGGATCCAGCTACCATCTGAGGCAGGCAGCTAACAGTGACATTCCCTTGCCCGCCGGCCTTCCCACTCTGACGTGCAGTGTTCGCCCTGCTGTTGGCGCTAGGCGCAGCAGTTTTCCTTGCCGGCGCGTTGATGGCCCGGCCTGGGCATGCGCGGGACTACCGCCAGGATGAGCAGCTGCTGGCTGGACCTGGTGCTTCCAGCCCTCAGCAGCACTCCGCCCTGGAGGAGGACCATGAGCAGCACGAGCTTCTGCGGGCAGCCATCCAGCCTGCAAGCAGGCACCAGACACCACAGCAGGAGCAACAGCATGAGCTGGCGGTGCTGGAGCAGCCGTTGCCGCAACAACAGGTGCTGGAGCAGCCGTTGCCGCAACACCCTTGATGTCTCCATCCTACATCATTCAGTTGTCTTGTGGCGTACGCTCCAAATGCACAATGGTGTGCTGTGTACCACTCCAATTGCCGCCCCAACTCGTGCGATCAGAGCCGACGTCGGCGGCCGTAGGCGGTGGCGGGTGGAAAGGCCCCAAGCTTGCAGCTGGAATTGGCCGATCGCCGGCCATGCCAAGCCATCGGTACACCGTTGACGCCGTCTATAGGTCTGCGGCCTTGCCTCCAAGCACGTCGCAGCGGAGCCTCTGACAAGCGGGACACCACCTTCAGGGGGCTGACCGCCCTGCACGCCCCATGTCGGCACCCGGAGGAGATGCGGGCTTGGCGCAGTATGTCGACAGTGAGTGGGCCATCACCCTGCTTGTGCACTATGATGGGAGGCCCAGACGGCCGCCGCTGCTCGCTCATCTGTCCAGCCAAACAGATCATGCTGTGAAGCGCGGGGGCAGCCGGGCAGCCGGGCTTCTGAGGACCCCACCAAACTCGCCGCCCGCCTGCCGCCCAACGCGGTGTTGGCGACCTGGAGTAACACACACTGCCCCGGTTGCCTGCTGCAGCAACGGTGTCGGTGATCACAAACGACGGGCGGACCATTGTGGTGGGTCTGCTGCTGTCGCATTCCTGTGTCGCTGCTCTGGCAGTGGCCCTGCGCTGCGGCCGCTCATTCTTCCACGCTGTGCGCCTACTTGTGCAGGGCACTCTGCGCGGCTATGACCAGGCGACAAACTTGATACTAGACGAGTGCCATGAGCGGGTGTACAGCTCCAAGGTGGGGAGGTGGCAGGCTGGCATTGACTGCAGTGCTCGGTGGACACTTGCCAACTGCGCTGTACAAGGATTGCTGTCGCCATGCTGCCGCCCAAACACTGCTGCTGCTTGCTGCAGAATGGAGTGGAGCAGCTCGTGCTTGGGCTCTATGTGATCCGGGGGGACAACATGTGAGCGTCCACCAGCCAGCGGCAGCTTGTGTGCAGCAGGGCGACCCATTCCTGCTGCCCAGACTAGCCTTGCCCGGCACGCCCGTCTGCAACCATCACACTGCCGCGCTGCTGTCGCTGTGTCCACTGCAGTGCTGTCATTGGAGAGATAGACGACGACAAGGATGCATCAATAGACTTCAACCAAGTTCGAGCGCCTCCGCTGAAGTCTGTGGCACACTGACCGGGATCGACGCTCCGCCCCTCCTGCTTCACTTGTTGACCAACCTCCCATGCTGACGACTGCTCTTCCCAAACTGCCGCCGCTCTGTCCTCCGTGCTGTTTACATAGGCTCATGACATCGATTTCCTAGGTGCAGGCAAAGAACACTGTGGTGTAACACTGATTGAATGCGCCGCCGAAATTTTGCGGCTTTGTGGCAGACGCAGAGCGGGGTGGAGCATACAATACATGGTGGGAAACATGAGGGTTGGGCACGACAGGGGGCCGTGCTCGCTTCCTTCTCTTGCAAAAACAGCTCTGCACATTGGCCGTGGGCTGACCAAAAGCAGGAAACAATGGGGGGCGCGCCGTGCGTGGATCGCATCATCCAAAATGTGGGTTTGGTTCAAACAATACGTGTGGCTCTCTAGGCAGCAGGTGTGCGGTTTCGGGTCATCTCTTCACAGGGCCAGCGCGGGCTTCTGCCGGCAGCCAGCCGCGTGCGCTCTGAGGCAGCCGGTGCAGGGCTCGCACCATGGGGGGAGGCGTCTGCCCTAAGCCCTCACAGGTCGGTCTTGTTGGCGCGCACCGGCGCCTTGGCAGCCTCGTCCACCACCCGGTTCACCACCCGCTGGAAGCGCTGCAGGCGCTCGTACTCATGCTTGAGAGCACGCTGGCTGCGGTTGCGGCCCCGAGCAGCGTACCCTGCGGGGCGGAGCAGGCGGGGTCACGAGGTGGTGGCAGACGTGGCGTCGGCTGCCCTCCCGGCATTGCGGCTGCCGTGGTGGGAAGGCTGGGCCCCGGTTCACACCGACGCAGGCGTCTGTTTCCTCGCCGTGGCAAGAAAGCCATGCGGCCTGGCCCCACGCTGCCCAGCACAGCCGCAATGGCCCCAATCCAACTCAGCACATCTTCTCACCCGAGCTGACCCAGGCCTTGGGCTCTGTGTCGTCTCCCTTGAAGTTGTTTCCAAACACGCGCTGGATGGAGGTCATCACAAACTGGTCCACGCCAGCCTCCTGGTCCACGGCGGCATCCGCAGGCCTGCGGGGCGCACACGAAAAGCAGGCGGGCAGGACGGTAAGGCGGGAGGGAGTAGAGAGAAGTCGAGTCGAGCAGCACACACAGCCAGGCGCAAGCGGGCAGGTGCAGGGCAGACCACTGGCTGCCCGGGCCTGCCCAGATGCCGGGCCCGGCTGCCGCCCCCCGCATGCTGCCGCCCAAAGGCCGAGATTTTCTGACTTGGTCTCCCCGTCGCTCCCCATGCTCACTCGTCC